GAGTTGTGACTTGAGACTTGACGACATTGGATCTCCTCGTCTGTGCATGTTCTGGGCTGGCGCTGTCTTCCTGTGTGAAGCACCAGACCCATTCACACTATGAAACGAYGATGATGATGTATGTTCAGGGCTGCATTACAACATTGATTGTTTGGATCACTAGTATCTAAGTCTTCCGCTGTGCTATCTTATACCTTGTATTGAAAGGTCGGTTCTTGTTCTGGTCTGCACCTATACGGTATGCAACATTGGTCTTTCTTGCCATGAAGGTTATATATAAGACGGTTTAAGACCCCTCACCTGCATATTTGTTTGCCTTCACAGGTCACCACACTCAAGCAAGGATACCTTCTTAAGCGCTCTTCCAGTATACGAGGGGACTGGAAGAGGAGGTTCTTCGTGCTGGACAGCAGGGGTACACTCTACTACTACAGAAAACAGTGGGGAAAACCAACGGTAAGTTGTGAGCGTCTATCCAACATCTCCTAAGAGTTGCAATCCTGCTTGATCAAGCTTCAAATCGAAGGGCTGGGTTTTCCATCAAGGAAGTGATTATTTTTTAATAAATTTATATGCAGGGGTGTGAGGGAAAATGGAGATTGGACTAATCATTTCAAACAGGCCTATCCATTATCTCCCAAGAGCTGATGAGGTGCTTTATTCAAATAGAAGACTCTGTGTTCTATTGTCGGAGCGAGGATGAGGAGGGACATAGGAGTAATGATGATCTAGCACAGGCCTCCTTTGGACTCTTACGAACGATCAATGAAGAGGGGAAATAGGACTTAGTCATCCAACAATGGGAATGGGAGTGCTTCACAACGATTTTCAAATAGAACGTGCTTTCTGAACTTGCATCTGAATACGTTTTTTTTGGATCACAGATCTAATTACAATGTCCTTACATAGGCGTCTTGTTTATTTTCACGTTTTTTTGGATCACAGATCTATAAAAGGGCCTTTACCCGATATAGGCCTCAGGCCTTGTAAAAGTAAAGCAGCATGGGCCTTGTAAAAGTAAAGCATTGTGAAAAGGTATCTCGCCAGGGCTCAGAAACGTGAAAGCAGGTCAAAGATCAAGTTCTCTATCAACAGGCACATCTAAATCTAAGGCAAAGGGCATTGTCAAAGGGATTTACCTGTTCACCAGGAGATGTGTATGTCATGTCTGTTCGGGTAAGAGTGTGTCTGTACGTGCAAGCAGTGTACCTGTTCGTGCAAAGGAAAGTGTCTGTTCAAGCAGTAAATGTGTCTGTTCGTTTAGAGTTGTGCCTGTCGGAAAGTAAAGTCAATAGGCACAGTCCCAGTTCTGGTCAAAGTCAAGGGGTCAGTCCAGATCCAGACTTTCAAGTCCAAATCCAGGCCGAGAGGCCTCCGCAGCAGTTGAACTTCATTGGGACTATACTGGGACACATGCAATGCAGGGTCTGGGACAAAGGAGAGGCCGAATTGAGCCAATGCAGACCCAGCGAGGAGTGGCCAGCACTATAAAGGGAGCTGTCTGCCTCATTCCTCGCCAGATCTCCACTGGCTGCAATGCATGGAAGTGCTGGTGCACTTGTGCGCTGAGTCAGGAGGAGCAGCGCTAGAGGTAGAAGATGCGCTGAATGGAGGGAGAAGCCTGTACGCTGGAAGGGATGCAGCCATAGCTGCCCAGCGAGTTAACATTAGTAGTAGAGGGTTAGTATGTAGCTATGAGTAGTATCCAGAGTAGATCCTCATGAGTGAAGAGTGTGTATGCATCGTAGGAGGAAGGGACTGAGGCTGAGAGTGTTCATTCAAGGTTCGGCTATGGAAGATACTTACCTGAGTTGGATGTGACCTGCAGAGGTGGCGCTGATGAATTGTGACCACATTGATGACTTGGAGATCTGCAGGAGTAGCGCTGATTCACTGGAAGTCATATTGATGAGTTGACAAGAGATTGGTTTTGCGCTGACGAGCGCTGGACTCGGGGGAACTTTGAAACACTTTGTATTCATATTTCTGATAATATAAGCTGTGAAACTCGGTCCTCTTCTCATCTACCTTTGTCTATGACTTGAGACTATTGACCATGGTGTGTGAGGATGATGCATGACATGTACACACTTGCGTGAAAGGGTCCCCAGGACCCATGCAAAATTTTGGTATCGGAGCAGATGCTCGTTACACTCATAGCGCTGGTCTGATCAAGGCCGGCGAGAAGAAGTGGTGATGGAGGAAGAGTGAAGGGGGGAGGAAGAGAAGGAGGGTCGATAGTGGGGGAAGCAGGTCGAAGAAGAAGTGGCGAAGTCTACTTACCTGGAGCGTGCGGAGCATCGTGGAGCATCATCGGCGGTATCTTCAAGAAGAGAGAAGCACCTCCTTTCCCTGAACCTGCATGCATGTGTGTGTCCCCTACCTTCTCTCTCTCTGACCCTCTGAAGGTGACTGCTGCTGATCTGGTCAGGCGTCGAAGTCTGGATCTGGGTTGTCATAGCTGTCAGGTCTGAGCCGTCAGAGTCTGATGACCCGAGTGTGATGTGTCAGGAACTGGTCACACTAGAGTAGGTGGCCCAGTGTTCTGCGAATAGGAGTAGGTCTCTCTCCTATCCCTCTTGATAGGTAGGCTGGGTATCGTCATCAAGAACCAAGAATCGATGTGGGAAGTGGCTATGTGCCACGTCAGATAGCAGGTACCAGGCAGCATAAGGATGATATTGAGCATCTACAGGGCCTGTTAAGCCCGAAAGAAAGAAAARGGGTAAACGRAGTATTTCTGCCTGGTTKGAYAAGTGAACTATCTGCATCTGACCTTCTGCGCTGTACTCCATACCTGCATCAGACACCCAGCAAGTTAGTAAAAGAAAGAAAAAAGTATATATCAAGAGAGACAAACACATTGCCGTATCAAAAAAAAAGACTATGCAGATTCAACAAGTAAGCATTATTGTAATTTGATTTGTTACCTGCAGCACCTTCTGTAGTCCACAAAAAAAAAAAAAAAAAAAAAAAAAAAACAACGACACAGCACTCCATTGCCAACAGATACTAAGCAAGTAAGTTGATTGGGATAGTGCCTCGGTGATCTGGCAGAGGGCTCCCTGTGCCGGTAGTCGGACGCATGTGTACGTCCCGGATGTTAACCCGATCTGGAACAGTAAAACTTGGGTTCACACCTGCGGAACAGGCTGAAATAGACCGCAGGCTGACAGAGAAGAAGAAGGAAAAAGAAGCAAAGAAAAAACAGAAAGAAGAAGAAGCCAGAAAGAAGATGAAAGAGAAAATGGAGAAGAGTAGAAGAAGAACTGAAGAGTATAGAAGAAGAAGAAGAAGAAGAAGTAGAACAGGAAGATCAGCAGACCTTGCAGCGACGTCGTCATGACATCCCTGAGAGTAGGAGCCGGCTTCCCGTTGAGCTGTTGGATTGGGGGGAACGGTACTACTATTCCAGCGAGCCATTGAAAGAGACTGACGCAGAGCGAGATGCATTCGTCGTCAAGTTGGCCACTGTGACAGACACCGTTGAACGTAACCTGCTGATGGCGGAAAAAAGGGTTGAATTGAATGCCAGATTGTTAGCTTCCAGACGGCAAGAACTAGAGGAAAAGAAAAGACTGCAGGCCGAAGGGGAGAAATTGCAGAAAGCTCTAGAAGCGCAAAAAGAAAATCCCTCTGAAACCGAAGCACAGCTTGCTCTCCTCAGGGAGACAGTCCTCAACACCAGGCAAGATATGAAGTTAATGCATCAGACCCTACAAAGGGTTGAAGCGCATCGAGTTGAATTCGAAAACGTCTGGAATAACTTTGTGGAGAAGTCAGCCAAGGATGTTGACCAATATGTGCAAACTTACATCCAGGCTTTGGACGAACATATTAATAAAGTCTTCACCCCGGAAGTCGTAGAGAAGATTGTAAAGGGAGCTGGAGGCGACGGAGGAGATGGTGATGGCGACGGCGATAATGATAAGAAAGGAAGGAGGAAGATTGGGGACCCGAAAGAGAAACTTCCTCAGGAACCCGGGCAGGTTAACAAGATAAAACTTAAACTGCCCTGGACCTACAATGGAAAGAAAGAAGAGAGTGTGTTGCCCTTGGCGGCGACAATTGAAACCTATGTGTACGGACAGCGTATCCCATACTGGGACAGGGTGTTGATGGCAACTTCGTGCATGGGAGGCGACGCCATCAGCTTCAACATCTCGCTGCAAAAGGAGGCGGGATGCAGCTCCATGGTAAAGTATTCGCAGCAAACGCGAATTGAAGATTTCCTTAAGTTAATAAGAGAAAGATTTGAGGACAAAAACTTGGCAAGACGTACAGAAATGTTGATCCTCAGCCTTCCTGACAGGAAATGCAATAGTACCTCTGCACTAAAGGCAACTATGGATGAACTATTGCAATGCCCTGATCACGGATTGACGCCGGCCCAAATCTTAAACAGTTTTGTACGAGCACTCCCGGATACCCTAAGAACACAACTCTATCCCCGTCTCAAGGAAGAGGGGATGACATATGAGAAGTTCGGCAAGATCGCCATAGATCATGCTGGCTTCCTCGCTGAAGCAAATTATTGTCATTTCCGGAAGGATCTGCAAGCGGGTAAGAGATGGCAAAACCGCACCATCTCAGGGTCTATACCTGGGAAAGACAGTCTCCTTCTAACCTTTGAAGAAGGAGGCGCCGAGACCATCTCCTGGGATCAAGTAGACTATGGTCTTGATGAACCCAAGAGACCGGTAGCTCAGGAGGGGAGTTACGCGGCTGTTTCAGCTCGCGGCGGAGGGCGTCAAGGAAGAGGGCGTGGCCGAGGAAGAGGTCACGGCCGTGGTGGACGAGGATTCGGCACCCAGAGGGGTGGTGGTGAAGGAAGCCACTGCGTGGGAGGAAGGGGAAATGGTCCCTCATACGGTGGCCGTGGTTCTTACTCCACCTGGGGTAGAGGAAGAGACTCATGGTACAACAAGTGGGATAAGCCATGCCCACCTCATCCAGGCCTGCCGGAAGGAGAGCCTTGGAAAGAATTGGGAATCACAGAAAAAGTTTGGGCCGAAAGGAAGAAGGCAGATCAATGCCTCAAATGTGGGGACCCCGACCTCATTGTCCCCTATTGCCCTGACTATAGGGGGGCAAAAGGGAACGACCAGTAGAGGTGCCAGTTGCCTTTACCGGGGCTTCGAATGTTGAAAAATCAGAATCCTCCCATTCGAAGGCCCCAATGGCAGAAATTGAAGAGGAAGGAAGTCCCCATCTAGTGCACTGTCCAGAGGTGGCAAACGTATGCACCTCTCTAGATGGATCCCTCGCTGGCGTGGGTGATGAGTTGGCCGCTCGTCGCCAAGCCTGGACTAAAATGCGAAAAAAGAAAGGACAGCTAATAATTGCAGATCTGGAAATAAATTGAGTTAGAGTAGGAGGTATGATAGACAGCGGGTCTACACGCAGTTATATTAGTAAAAGAGGTTTGCAGAAACTGCATCTTGGGCTTAAAGTTAAGAAGTTAGATGAGTCCATAGTAAGTAAGTTGGCAAATAGTAGTGAAACCGTCATGGATCGATACGTCGAGGGAGTACAAGTATACTTTCGGCTAGAGGCAGAGGGGAAGGTGGAACGCGTTCTCCACTCTCTGACCTTCTTGGTGGAGGATAACTTGCCCTTTGATGTGTTGTTAGGAATGGATTGGGGTGAGGCTGCACATGCGGATCTAAAGTTAAGGGAACATGAATGTTGGCTTCCAAGTCCGCAAGGAGGTAAGAAAAAGATTCGCCTCTATCATGAATCAGGAAAAGAAAGCAGCCTAGCTCACTGTTGTATGAGTGCCCCAGCGTTCCCTCGCCATATCGAGAAACATAACTTGTACGACCTAGTCTTTGTTGCATATGTGCGCCCAGTGAAGGAAGGAGAAACCAAGGAAGAAGTTAGGTCTCAAGAGATTGAGAGGATCTTGAAAGAGTTCGCAGATGTGGCTGAGGCCCCAAGCGGTGTGGTGGAAAGACCAATCCGCCACCGCATTGATATCATTCCAGGGAGCGCGCCCCCGAAGTGGCCTATCTATCGTATGTCGCCCCAGGAATTGGATGAACTGCGAACCCAACTCGACGAGTTGTTGAAAAATGGTTGGATAAGACCTAGCTCCTCACCCTATGGTGCGCCTGTACTCTTTGTGCCTAAAAAGGATGGCGGCGTTCGCATGTGTATAGACTATAGGAGATTAAATGACATAACCATAAAGAATGCTGAACCATTACCGCGAATAGACGATTTGCTGGATCGCGTGCAGGGAAGCAAAGTATTCTCAAAGATTGATCTAAAATCTGGCTACCATCAGATTGAGGTTGAGCCGGAAGACCAACATAAGACTGCCTTCAGGACAAGGTATGGGCATTTTGAGTTCGTAGTTTTGCCCTTTGGTCTCACAAATGCCCCTGCCACTTTCCAAAGAACGATGAACGAACTCTTTCGTGAATGGCTCGACAAATTTGTTGTGATTTATTTAGACGATATTTTGATTTTCAGCAAAAATGAAAAGGAGCATGCTGAGCACCTTCGACTTGTGCTAAATAAATTGAGGGAAGCAAAACTCAAGTTAAACCCAAAGAAGTGTGAATGGGCTAAGCGTCAAGTGCTATACCTAGGACATGTGATTGATGGAGATGGGGTCAAACCGGAAGATGCCAAGATAGCAGCAATTAGAGATTGGCCGAACCCCCACACCCTAACTGAGTTGCGGTCGTTCCTTGGGTTACCACTTTACTGAGAAGGATGTCCTCGTCATGCACGAAACACATGGGGGCAGACCACCAATGTTTGCTGTGGATTCGAGTTCAGGGCTGTAGCTCGGCAGTTATGGGTCACCAGTTCAGCTAAACCCTGTTCGTGTCTCCGCGTGATTCTCAGGGCCTCCCTCCACCACTCACCAAATGTATATAATATTAGTAAAATGAATCTTCTGCTAAAACATGGAACCATACACCGCCATATGCTATGTCTTTTGTACATTTGGTGAGTAGTGGAGCAGGCCCCACTGGACGTATTCGTAAGAAAACAAAAACAAGAAAACGAAAGAGCTACGGGCGTCTTCATCCTAACCCATAACTGCCGACATGCAGACCTGGACGCCAATCTTCAGCATATATTGGTGGTCGGCTGGCCCTAGAAAACGTAACTTGTGATCTCTGCAAGATTCGCGGGGCAGGTCGTTATCAAGAGACTGCCCCTTTTTGCGAACTTACCCCACCATTGTGTGGGATCTGCAGAAGGGAGCGGGAAGAATATCTTTCATACCCCGCCTAAAAGAAAAGATGGAATGAGCCCTATTTTTAAAGTAGTTTATGCTTCGCCATTCGGAAACTTTTGGGGGAAGGGCCTGCAGGAATCGAAATTTTGGCAGCCCTTACCCAAAAGAAAATTTCGAGCTTGGGGCGCGGCCGGTATCTGAGCTCGCGCGGTGAGTTTAACATTTTTGCTGAGTTGGGGGCCCTAAGAAATTACAAAACACCTACTCTTTTTTTTTTCTTGTGGACCTAATTTTTCCAGTGCGCTGCGGTTCGGTGCGCTGTGCGGTGCGCAATTCGTGCGCAAATCCGTGCTCCGAGGTGCGCCGCAACTATGGTGTCTAATAAATTAGACTGAAAAACAAAGGAGCGAAGCAATGAAGAGTTTTGCAATGAATGAGCTGACGGAAGGTTTGCCTATGATAACCAATCTCCTCCTTTGGAATATGCCGTGCTATTGCTTACTTATGGACAGCTTGAAGCAATGAAGAGTTTTGCAATGAATGAGCTTCTTATGTGTGAGTCTCACCTACTTCTCCCAAGGGCTTTGTGTCTTGACTACGGTGTCTCCATCTTCTGTCTTCTCTCATACCTTTCATCGGTGTCAGTCTGTTTGCATGACTGGTGTGTTGTCGTTCTCACATTTGAATGTCACTGAAGATTGTGCTAATAAGCAATTTGCCACTGGTCTGTGCGCTCAGGATGCTAAAACTGTGGCTTATCATACGGTTGACTTGTTGACGAGCACCATCAAGAACGATGCAGAGCAGACCGATCTTCGCTTCTGCTTCCGAATAATTTCGCCGTTGAAGACGTACACCTTGCAGGTACCCAGACCGCGTTTTCCCATTCCCTCTGCTCTGTTGGCTATGCCTCCTTGAAATTTACACGAATGATCGTGAACTGGATGCATTGTTGCTGGTTCGTGAAAAAGACAAATAGACTGAAATAGTGTATAAAATATTAAAAAAATATTTTAAAAATAGAAAAATAAAAATGATTTTTTAAAAATTTTGTAAAGGATTTTGATGTGATTCTGAGGCAAAAGTTGTTCAGTTTATTTTTTTTCATAACATAGTTTTTTTTCGGATTTTGTTTTTTTTTGTGTGGCTGGGACCTTCCCAGGTCATTGCACGGCCCGGCTGGTAGCCTAGGTTAGTTCTTTTTTGCATCGGGGGCGGTCTTGCAACTCTGAGCAGCACGCTGCCTGGTTGTTCTTCCTGGAGGGAGTCTACAGTTGTGGCAGAAGTAGGAGAATCTGTCTCCTATTTTCCGTAGTGCATTTTCGATTTTACGTTTGTTCAGTAATCCTGACGAGCTTAGCGGTCCGACTGAAGCTCATCAATTGTCGTATGTTGAATCGTACTTTTGTTTCTCTGTCAGGCGGAGAATGCACAAGACCGGGCAGAATGGATGGACAAGATCACAGGTGTGATCGCATCGTTGTTGAATCACCACATATCAGAACCGGTATGTCAAAGAGCCACAGCTCTGTAATTGCATTATTCATTGAATCTGTAGGTTTCTTCGTTGTCTTGCTTCACATTACCGGTGGACATTAAATGGACTGACCCCTCGAATGGCTCACGAGTCACAACCTCCTATCCAACATAATTAACAGAATGGAAAGATGGTCAGGAGTCAAGGACCTTTTCCTCTCTACTACTGTCTGAACCCGAAAAACAAATCCGAAAGCCAAATGTCTCTGCCATAAAAGAATGTGTCTATTCCAGTGCTGGGCCGGCAACTGGCTGGTTGAGCTACCCCGGTCCAACCGGAGCCGGACCAGCCCAGGGGGGGTGAACCGGGAAACCGGTTTTGAAAAAAAGTGCCAAAATTTTCGGCAGATTTTGACTGCGCTCTTCAAGAGCTGTTGGAATCCGCAATAAAATTTTCAACATGCAATATTTTTCAGGGGGCTTCCAGAGGGGGGCGGGGGTTATTATTGACATATTCATGCAACTATGGCTTCCACGGGGAGGGGTTAAGTAAGCGAGTTCACTTATCCGACCCCCCTGTGGCTGGAGCACTTCGTGGAGTGTGTCATTTGATATTGATACCCCATGAGCTGAACCGGATATGATGAGAGGAGGTCCTTGCCAGAAGTTATAGCTCTTCCAGAGTATAACTCGACAGCAGAAGAGTTATGGTTCCAGCTTTCAGCTCGTGGAGGCAGAGTGTTTTCTGTTTGTTGGTTTCTACATAAGGTGAGCAGTCCACAAGTATTTTGCCTGGCAGTCTGTCTAGATAGCTTAGGTCCATTCTTGGGCTTGCACCTCGGATGGCTCTGACATCACGATTCCAAAGTCCGCACCCATAACTTTTTCCACAGATGGCAGGGAGGTCGCAGAAGGATATAATCTGAGCAGAGCCTCATCACTAGCATAGTGTTCCCCTCGTGGCTGAGGGTGAAAGAGCATCAGATGTTGCCAATGGTAACTGGTCCGCTGGACCACAAGATGACAAATTGGAGAAGGGGCCTACCCGACCCACATCTTAAGAAAAATGTGTGGCGGTTCTCTGCTGTTGATCTGCATAGATCAGCGGCGGATATCCTCTGCCCGTTTTTCTTCAGAAATGGGGTCCTGGCTGATCTTTGCCGCTGATCTGCGACGAACGGCAGCCAAGATTGGCCACTTTTTGGACTTGAAAAATCCGGGCCTACAGGACCCGGTTTCGAAATTGCGGGGCAGGGCCCACCCCCACGAGGCTTTGCGAACACATACACACCTGCAAAAAAAAAAATTCAGGCCCCAGCGAAAATGCACTGGGGGCAACCGGGATGGAACCGGCCCGGGCCACCGGCCGGTCCAACCGGGAGGACCGCGGATGGGGTAGATGTGCCCGGTCCATCCGGGGACCAGCCCTGGTCTATTCGTTTTTTCATTTTTTTATTTTTTCTCGATTTCGGTTGTAAATCTCGACAGGATCCTCTGGCAAAAGTTGTTTGTATGTCAATGTTGTACACCATATTTGTTTTCTAGATCTTTTTTTTGAAGCTCTTTGAGAGTTTGAAATTCTGCAAAAATCAGCGAACAGTGTCTCAGACATCACATACTTGGACTCTCTGGTTTCCGTTGTTCCCATTGTACCACCTTCGTTGCTAGGCACATGTTCATCTTCTGTTCGCAACACCACCACGACTCTTATTGTGTATCGTCGACATGTGCAGCATCGTCACTTGTCAGGGGATCAGCGGCTTGTTTCTTCGTCTGCCCCAGGTTATTGCCCCAGGGACCACAGGCTGTTCCTTTGTTCCAAATGGCGATATCCGCTCTTATGCCTCCTGTAGACAGTCCAGCTGGCTGCAGGCAGCCACCGCACCATGTTTTATGCCCCTCAGCATTAGATATTCACGACTCACCTGCACAGCAGGATGTGGTCCATGCCCAGAGTACATTTCCAATTCCAGGGACAGTCCTTACTCAGGATGCGGCCCTGAACGTTGAGGGATTGGAACATTATCTGCCTGGATTGCAGTTGGGGATCTGCAAATGGCTGACCAGCATCGTTTGGATGAACCACAAATTTTGTGCCCCGCCACACGCAGACCACATTGGTGATCTGCGAATGACTGACGAATGACTGACCAACAAACAACCAAAGAAATTTTGGGCTTGGGTGTTGAGCTGGGCGATTTGCAAATTGTTGCCAGCATCCGGCACACCAGCCTAAGACCTCACCAATCTCTGTGGTCTGACTGCAACTAATATCTGTCTTGGCATTCTCCACTGCTTGTTTGATTCACCATCAGACTTCCTTGTAATCACTCTTCAGCTTGATGCTGATTTCTCCGCCTACGGCCGGAGGATTGTAATTATACCAGGGAAAGAGGCTTTTTGCCATTGCTGTCCTACAAGTAGCAATGAGGGACTGCCAACTTTAGCTACGCAATGCTCAAGCAGGTGAGTGGTTTAATCCTCCGTCCCACATTTGTGCGTGCATTGTGCACGTACCTGGCCATTACATGGCCATTGTACATACCCGACCACCGGGAATTGTGGGACAACAGCATCATGACCCATACCATGACTGATGTTACTGATTTCTGGTGTTTTCTTGCCACACCAAACTGTCGGCAATCTCTTTTATGTCGAAGATCATTCATTCCTCTGGGCCCATGCTGCAGCAGGACAATGTACCATCACTCTGCAACCTTCTCCTTTGCACCGCTACAGACACTGTTACACTCGGCTGTAGTCGCCATCGTCTCCGTTGCAATCACTACAATGACATGGTTTCTGCATCCATGTGTGTAGAGGATTGTCCGTTCCTGACTGCAGGCACCCTCTGCATCTGATTTTGCGGCCATGGGCGCTATACTGAATGCATTTTCTTTTGTGGCGAGTGTTCTTCCTTCATTTTGGCCTGCAATCGACATGCCATTTGTCGAGACTGTATGGTGGGCATGCTCAATGCCAGCCGTCGTGGTAATTGTTGTGTTGAGAATGCTCAGCTAGGTCTTCCATGTGCCCATCCACCTCATCCTTACAATGCGTGTCCTCTCTGTCGTCAAAGACGGACTCGTTCTTGAGGCTTTTTTTATCCTCTCCTTTGCCTTCATCTTCACTCCACGCTCCGTACTTTCCCTTACTCCCCTTTTTTCATTCTTTGTTTGTCTTCTCTTCACCTCTCTTCTTCTCTGTGTTTATCACCCCCGCCGTTCTTTGTTTCTCCTCTCTTCACTGTGTTTATCACCTCCTCCTCCTTTACTCTGCCTGTTTCTCACAGCGGACAAGTGGGTCGCTATGGCACATGGGGATGAGGGCAGCTCGCACCCAACTTCATCAACGTGGTGAGCCTTGTATGTAGAGGCACGGTGAAGGGGGAGTTTAAAGAATTACAAAGAATGATTGGTTTCAGTGTGCTCCTCATGTTTGTCTTGTTTTTTCATCTTTGCCATTTGTTTCGCAAAGTGCACTCTTTTAGTTCATAACTGTCAAATTTGACAACATAACACATGACCTATGCTGTCCTTGTGCAACATGGTAACTGTCACGTCATTCACCATCAATGACGATCGGCAGGATTGTCTTAGCATTGAGAATCTAGAACCAACAGAGTGAACACTTGAACCAATAGAGGCACAGTCAAAAGTCGTCAATCTTAATAGAAGAGTTCAAAATGTCTTACATTGGCAGTTTGAATGTCAGGCCTAATAAATATGATTACTTGGCTGCTATCGGCTCGTAGTCACAGGCGATAGCCATCAACACCCAGACATCCTCGGCTGGGGGGTACAAACATGTGTTCTTTAGTGAAATCATGGAGAGATCTCTCGTCTGCCATTTGCATTTGTTAAATCCTTTTGCTAAGCTCGAGTTGGTTTGCTTGGACCGAATATTTGACAGACTTGCAATTTTGCTGAACTGTTTCCAGAGGCACAGACCGAGTCTAGACTACGGGACGGGGAACCAAGGACATCAACGTTCACGCAGTGAGGGGGAGGCAGCGACGGATGGTGAATGTGATGCACACTCTCACTCCAGCTCTGATGGGGCTTCAAACTCTCCATCAGCCTCTGGTGCGTTTTGCATTCAGCCCTGCAAATTTCTCGGTCTGGCGGCAACCTACAGTCGTCTCAAAGAATGACATGTGATCCTGTGTGTTGGCTGGGCCCCGTGTTGTCAGAGTCTGCTTCAGGGTTTCTCCGCTTGGCCAGCGTCTAAGACGTTAAGGACGAAAACAGGCTTGGGATTCAGGCATCATTTGACATTTTGACTGATAAAGAAGAGGACTTGGATGTCTAAAACCACCAGTACATGCCAGCTATCGGCCACGGGTCCCTTTCGGAGGCCGGCCACCGCCGATTCATTTTATCTACGGCGCTCGGCCTCCTAAATTTCCGGAGAGGCTCAAAACAGGTTCTCCATTTGCCTGGGGCCATGTGCTGGTGGTTGTTGCACAAGGGTCTTGTGTCATTGAGCTTGATTTGTGGTGTTCATGGGGCCTTCGGGGTTGGGGGGTTGGATTGTCATGGTTGGTGGAGGGTGTGGTGCTCAGCAGGCCTGCCGCTGGTTCCATGTTAGCGTGGTGGTCAAACCTTTGTGTCGGGATCCCTACCGTTGGTCTTGGGACTCTGTCATATAATTGATCTGTGACTTTTGTTATAAGGTACAGGTTGGTTTTTGTCTGCCTGCCTGCCTGTCGTCTTCTTCAATATTATGTGCAAGTGTGCCTTTCAGGCAGACATGGGTGTGGGCACCCAAAGCTCAACCACACAAACGAGTCCGGTCTCGGCTTCTTCAGCTTACGTTCTGGACTTCTTTTCAATCCAGGTGCATGGTAAAAATCTCACTATGTGTGATCTTTGCAGGGCGCAGTCAGAGCCGTGCACTGTGTATTTTCTATCACTCTGGTTGGCCGGGGAGCCGAGTTGATATTGGGTGTGTATTATAGTTTCTTTAGGAAATCACACACACACAAGGTGACCTGGTGCAAATGGTAGACGTGGAGGGAGGGTTTGGAGAGGAAGGTGTGAGGGCAAAAGAGGATGGACAGCGCACTGTATGCAACCCTCAAGATAGGAAGCCGATTGCATGGCTGATGATCTTTGTGCAAATGGTAGAGAAGTCGCCATTCAGAACTTCAGGCATGGATATTAATTGTGTTTGTTCCTTCTTTTTGAAAAGAAAAAAGGGGCGACGGCCTTTAGGTATCATCGTGAAACTGACCGCCCCTAGGTAAATTCAGGAATTTTGCTCATTTGGTTCGTTCAGGATTCGAACTTGGGTCTGTATTCCAACAGGTTTTGGGTGTACCAACTGGGCTAGGCGCGTTGGTAATCAATTGTTTGTTCCTAAATGAATGTATGTGTGCATTATGTGCTTAGGGGTTGAATGTGAGATTGCAATGAAACCTCCCTTCGAATAAACTCCGCACTGTCCACGGTCTGTTTTCTTCCATTTTTCGTCCGCTTGTTCTCCCCATTTTGTCCACCTTTTTTCCTGAGGCTAGTCTTGTTGTCGCTTCTCTCTCTCGGGTTCTGTTGTTGTGTTGTTGATTTGTTTCGTTTTCAAAGTTGCGCTGTGTTGGTCCCCACATTGAGGAGAAGGTTTTTGAGGCGAAGTTGGCTAACGGAGCTGCAGAACAAAACGGAATTGGATGATTGGACAGGGCCTTAATTTCAGGGGGGGAAAAGGTGCTTTTCTAGAAGCAATTAGTGTACATTGTTGGAACTGTAGCCCAAAGCCATGTCGGTGAAGAAGTGAAGTATACTAACGCGCTTGAGAGAACCACTCCTCCATAACTTCAGGAGGAGTGCTTTTCTTTCGAAGAACAGAGAAAAGTGACATATAACAGGAGGTAGCGTCCGTTTATCGAAAGCACCGGAAGTGGTAATACAACGTATAGAGTCGGATGCTTCCCGGGCATTCATTGCTGTTTGAACCAAAGTTGCGGCGCACCTCGGTGCGTTGATTTGCGCACGATTTGTGCACCGCGCGCAGCGCACCCAAGCACACCGCACTGTAAAAATTGGGTCCAAAAAAAAAAAAAAAAAGTACGTGTTTTGTCATTCCTTAGGGTCCCCAACTCTTCAAAAATGTTAAACGCACCACGCGAACTCGCAAACCGGCCGCGCCCCCGGTCCAAACTTTTTTTTGGGCAAGGGCTGCCGAATTTCAATTTCGGCAGGCCCTACCCCCAGAAGTTTCAAAAAGGCAAAGCATAAAATAGGGCTCATTCCAACTTTTCTGTTAGGCGGGGTATGGAAACTGGCCTTCCCCCTCCCTTGTGCAAATCCCACGCAGTGGTGGGGTAACGACTTGCCCACAAACTTCGCAGAAGTCACAGGTTGCATTTTCATCTCCGGCCGACCACCAATATATTCTTAAGGTTGGCGTTCAGGTCTGCATGTCGGCAGTTGTGGGTTAGGATGAAGATGCCCGTAGCTCTCTCGGTTTTTTGTTTTTGTTTTCTTATGAATTCGTACAGTGGGGCCTGCTCCACTACTCACCACATGCACAAAAGAAATAGCATATGGCGGTGTATGGTCCCATGTTTTAGCAGAAGATTCATTCTACTAATATTATTACTATTTTATTATTGTATACATTTGGTGAGTGGTGGAGGGAGCTCTCGTTGTTTTTGTTTTTGTTTTCTTAAGAGTACGTACAGTGGGGCCTGCTCCACTACTCACCACATGCACAAAAGACATAGCATATGGCAGTGTATGGTTCCATGTTTTAGCAGAAGATTCACTCTACTAATCAAACAACCCTACTAAAGCTTATCGGCCGCGGCACCTAGTCTTGGATCTGCAATGGTCCACGTTAGTGTTTTTGCATTGCGAACCCTGAGACGTCCGATGTAAAATTCTGACGCGCGATCGTTTGCATCGTGAAGCAAGAGATGTCCAATTTAAAATTCTGACGTGCCTGATGCGGCGTGCCTGACGCATCTGATGCATTTGTCGTTTGTTTTTTTCTCGGGCGAGTCTGGTTTCGTTTTGTTATTGCGTTGTCTTTTATGCTTTGGGCCTCGCTGCACTACTCTTGAAAAAATACGGACAGATACACGGTCATGATTTTTGTTTTTTGTGGATGTCGAGATTAGTGAATCTTTCGCTAGAATACGGACAGATACACAGTCATGATTTTTGTTTTTTGTGGACGCGTTTGGCGTTTGTTTTTTTCTCACGCGAGTCCGGTTTCGTTTCGTTTTTGCGTTCTCTTTTATGCTTTGGGCCTCGCTCCACTACTCTTGAAGTACGGACAGATACACGGTCATGATTTTTGTTTTTTGTGGATGTCGAGAATAGTGAATCTTCCACTAGAATACGGACAGATACACGGTCATGATTTTTGTTTTTTGTGGATGTCGAGAGTAGTGCAGCGAGGCCCTTTGTCATTGGCTGTCGGTGGGTGCTTGGGGCCGGTCGGTGTCGGTGGGTGCTTGGGGCCGGTCGATGTTGGTCGGTGGGTGCTTGGGGCCGGTCGGTGGGTG